CTCAGATGAGGGACCCCAAAAGGTATGGACAGTGTATCACGTGAGAAATTCATGATGAAACCTGGTTCGAGCAGCCGCAGAGATTACAGGAAGATATAGCAGTTTTCAGATAATGGAATGGGGTGGATGGCCGACTGTGAAGGATGCCACAGGAGGAAAGCTCCCCACACTGGGTGTGAGGCTGGCCTGTGATGGCCGGTGACCTTTCCTAAGACTAAATTCTTTGATTCTGCCAAGTTCACATTAGTATAAGAAAGGGTTAAAAATGAAAAGTCTACCCAGACTTAAGTTTAATGAGACTAGTCTGATATGAATAAGTACAGTTTTGTTAATTAAACTCATCCTGGGGCTGTACTCAGCAGGACTGAAAATGAGAACGAGCAAAGCTTTTGTTTCTCTCAATCCCCTGTGATTTCTGTGAGGCTTCAACAATTAATGACTCCTTGAACATCACAGGAATTCATCCCGCAGAAGCTCCAGACTGGACCTGCTCTGTTACACTCCCATTTACCATTTGTTCTTAGGACTGGATACCTGATTCTGCCTTTCCAAATATCAATTAATAGAAAAAACCCTTCTAGTTGACTTGAAAATTACTTCAAGCCAGGAACCAATTTCTCAACCATACAACACAATTACTTTAATCTATGAACTCAATCCAGACTGCGAGTAGCATTTTTCTTTTTCTAATGGGCCATGATATTTCACCAAATGTTGCCTATCCCGTGTTCTGCAGATGCTCTTACCTAAGTCTGGCTATGTAGGCGAGCACCATCCCCATAAATGGCCAGAAATTTACAAAGTATACAGTTGAACAGCACTGTCTGATTAAGAAACACCAACTTGACATTAATGATCTTTCTTTCAGTTCCTTCAAGTCAACAGAGATTGCCTCCCGTCCAGGTCAAGGAGAGAATTAGGGCAGGGAGGATTCCCAATCTTTGGTAAGATAATCTCCAGATAATCTTAAAATCTATTTTGGGAATAACAGATGTGGTTCTAACTGGATCTTTCTCGAGTTCTTCCCAAAGCCCCGGGCTGGAACTCTTCACGGGTCCCTCAGAAACACCTGGTATAATTACAGAGTCGAGCAGGAATCAGAAGGCGGTTCTGGTTGCTTCTCTGGTGGGATTCCTTAGTGGCCAAATCGGTTTTGAGGTTGTTTCACGGTCTGTCCAGACCTCTGCTTCTTCCTCTGTAAAATGGGCATGAATAGTCTTGCTTCCTTCACTAAGTTACTATGGAGCTCAGAGTCAATGGCTCATGGACAAATCTCTGAGGGAGCAAACTCGACTGTCTTCTAGAATCCTCACCTGCATTAAATACCAGTCCTTTAAGAGGGCCCGTGAGCCTCAGCTAAAGGGACAACTGTTTACGTGTCACACAGCTTGTGTTCTTTCTCTGGTCGGCCGCCTGAGTTCTAGCCTAGTTTTTAAATTTGTTTTAAAACAAAGATTGTTTGGTCACATGAAACTGCCTTAAATAGGCAATCTAAAATTAGCTCCAGCTGAAGCCTCAACTCCAAAGTCACTACCGGTGTCGTCATCTCTTTTCTTTCTTTAATAAGCCCTGCCCCTCTTTTGTCCCAGGACGGCTTCTGGCTCACATGCCCTTCACAAAGAAAATTTCCCTGGCTCGCTGCCATGGGTTTCTCTGCCCATTTCCATTTTAAGTAATTTTTCCTCAACTGTCCCAATTTCTTCCGAAATAAAGGCAGGTGTCCAAAACAGCTGGTTCATGTCTAAAGAAAACTTGATCTGATCTGTTGTAGGCTGGCCAGAGGCTTTGTGTGATCACATGGCCTGGGTTCACACCACCCACTGAGAAGCACTCACAGTGGGAGGCTGCGCAAACCCTGGCATCTCGGACTGGTCCTCTGGGTCTCATGAAACAGCTACCAAAGTTTGATGTTGTGTTTTTCAATGCTTAGTCCCACGGCGGATGACCCATTTCAAACCAAAGGGCCCCCACATTCCCTTTTGGCTTTGCTAGTTCCGCTCAACTCCAGCACTGCTTTTTCTGTGTGTAGCTCATACTGACAGAATTTCAACAGGAAGTGGTACGGGGGGTTCATGGCGGGGTGTCTTCCTGTGGCCCAATTATTTACAAAAAGGCAGGTTCTCTAATACTTCAACCATTTGCCACAAGGGTTAACTTGTGTATAAATGAATACAGTGGATCATCCCCAATTTCTCTCAAGCTGCACAATAATTTAACTTATTTAAAAGCCGAGTTGTAGAAATAGAATCCACACGAAATCCACACACCAAAAGAATGATGAAGAATTGTTTCATATCACAGAACTGAGATCAGTCACAGAGTGGAGGACTTTAGAGCCAATGTGACAATGTGACCCCAAGGGGCAAAGCTTCCCTTGGTTTAATTTAAAAAACTTCCTTTTAATGCTGGAAAGAAAAATGATCACTTTCTCCTGATCTGCCCTTACAGATTTACTGCCAAAAAAAAAAAAAAAAAAAAAAAAAAAAAAAAGATTAGCATCAGTATTAGATGTATCATGAATCACAGTTGAGGCACAAAGCATGCATAAATATTGAATAACACCTGCAGCCAGATGCCCTTGATATGCCTGGCAACATGTCAGGTGGTGGGTTCACAGACGCAGAAAGGTTCACCTAGGCTCACACTTCCCCGAGCCCCGACGGCACAGACCCTCTGAGTTTAAGCCATTCTACCTTTTTGGGCGACTTATTCATCAGATACGTATGGAAAAATATCTAGGGGTGCCTGAGTGGCTCAGATAGTTAAGTGTCTGCCTTCCACTCAGGTCACGATCTCTGGATCCTGGGATCGAGCCCTGCGTTGGGCTCCCCGCTCAGTGGGGAGTCTGCTTTTCCTTCTTTCTCTCCCCTCTGTTCATGCTCTCTCTCAAATGAATAAATAAAATCTTAAAAAAAAAAAAAACTAGCTTACAACACTGTTTTGTGTAAAATGCAGGAGAAAAAACTTGTCTCTAAACCTCTTGGACTTGGCCAAAGATTCTATCTTACATAGTGTTCTCTCTGTCTTCTAGGCTGGTCCCAAGTAAGTTAAATACTTTATAGATGTTGATCAAATATACTGTGGGCAGGAGTTAAGAACACCAGAGATACACCCACCTGACCAACAAATGAGTTCAAATTCACTGGTGTTTGATCAGATTCTTTTCATACTAGACTATGAGAGATTCTCTGTTGTATGCACAAATGAACCAAACAAAACACAGAAGAGAAACAGGTCACGAGGTTAACTATTTGGAACTTCTAGCCCTGGTTGGAAATCAGGTTAGGCCACAATAAACGAAATATCTGGGAAGGGTACCTGTGGCTACCAAGGCTGGAGAAACACCAGGAGAGACAGAAGGGGAAGGGATGAGCCTCCACTTGAGATTCTTATAAAGAAAGGACAGCACTGGGGCGCCTGGGTAGTTCAGTAGGCTAAAGCCTCTGCCTTTGGTTCAGGTCATGATCCCAGGGTCCTAGGATCGAGTTCCGCCTCGGGCTCTCTGCTCAGCAGGGAGCCTGCTTCCTACTTTCTCTCTGCCTGCCTCTGCCTACTTGTGATCTCTGTCAAATAAATAAATAAAATCTTAAAAAAAAAAAAAAAGAAAGAAAGGAAGAAAGGACAGCACTTCCCTTTCTAGCAGGCCTAGATGGCCATTCTCTGTCTCCCCATCCCTCCTGGCCAAACCCCATTCCAGGACAGGAGTAACAATATCCCTTTCTAGGCGTGCAATACTTCCACGTTTAGGAAGAATTCCCCTGCTTTGGATTCTTTCACTTTAGATCACGATCCCATCTTCTGGATAAGCCTGTCGGTGGGGATGAGCCTAAACCAGGAGAACTGTCAGTCCTCAGCCACCTCCTCACAGATCTGCCTGAAACCCCAGTTCCCATTTTTTCTACTCCCACATGCTTGTGAGAGCAACCAGATCAGGGCCCACGGCTGGCATGGAAACGAGAAGGGAAGGGAGCGGTGTCACCAGAGGATGGATGAAATAGTCAATGCGGCGACAGTAAGCTTAGCCTCTTGAGGTCAGGAGGTGAGAAAAGGCGACTGCCGAGACTTGGCCTTCTACTTTGGGGAAAGCCTGAGCAAAAAAGCTATTCGTCCATCAGATAGCCCCAGAGAGCGCCCACCTGTGCCTAGGAAGAGTCTCTTCCCCCAGATCAAGCGCCCACAGAGGTCAAAAAGCAGCTCCACTCCCACCAGGGTATATACATGGGGTGTTCCTCCCAGCCCAAGGGGCCGTCCACCACACCTGCCACGCTCCAGGGGCTGCTCAAGAAGCCGGGTCGTTCACACCTATCACCAAGCAGCCCAGACCTGTCACCCCGACCGCCCGGAGGAGCTGGGGCGCGAAGGGGCCCCCTCCCAGCTCGCGCGGACTGTGCGCGCCGCCTACCCGGAGCTCGCCCTCGGTGCGGTGCAGTCCCAGGCGCCGCAGCCCCACGGCCAAGTCGTTGACACACAGGCCGCCGTCGCGGTTGACGTCGAGAGTCTGGAACAGGCTCCACAGGCGCAGCCGGTGGTCCGGGCCCCCGCAGACGGCGCCGCCGCACGGGTCCACGGACGCCGGCGACGAGGCGGACGACGAGGCGGCGGAGGCGGCGTCCGGCGGCGGGGAGGCCACGCAGCGGCACAACACACTGCTCACCATCGGGCGCGAGGCAGGGGCGCCGGGCGCGGAGCGGGGGCGGCTGGCCGGCGGGGAGAACGCGGAAGACACGCGGGAGTCCCCAGACGGCTAGCGCGGGCTGCTAGAAGCCGGCAAGCTGGCGGGAGGGGCCGCTTCCGGGAGCCCCGCCCCGCCGCCCGCCGCCTCGTTGGCCACGCCCCCAGGCGGGGCGTGGGCCAATCACAGGCCCTGACGGCCACTCGGCCGGGGCGGAGCCTCCTGGAGGACCGCCCACGCCGCCCCGAACAGCCTAGATCAATGGGGAAGGCGGAGCGATCCCTGCTCAGTCTGCAGCCGATTCAAACTGAAGGAGGCGGGGATTGGCTGAGCAGGCCGGTGAGAGGAAATCAAGCCGCGATAGGCAGAAGTTCTGTGATTAGCCGGCGGAAGGCCCCGTGTCCAATCTCCATTGAGAAACGCTGTTTGGCTTCAGGCAATCGTAAGGATGGGAGGAGCGGTCGTGTACAGAAACCTCGTAGTCTCCGGTGGGAAATAGGGTTTGTGTGAGGAGCAACCGTGAGCTGCGGCTGCGAAGCAGAGTTTGCTTCCGTGAGTGGAATTAAAAAATTGGCCAATGGCTCAAGGCCGAAAGCACTCAGGTATCCTCGGGAGGCCGGGTTTTGGTACTCTATAACTCCCTAAACCACCAATAAAATAGCTGAATTTAACGGCGTGATAGTCGTAATGCTGACGATTGAAGGACAGAACGATTTTCCAATGGAAGTGAAAAAAGGCAAGTGGGAGGAGCGCTCTGTAGCGACAGACACACTTTTAGACCAATGACGAGGCCAATTCCAGTAAGTAGGCGTGCTCTTCAGTTGAAAGACAGATCAAAAGAGCCAGTGATCGAAGTGGCGTTTGAGCCCCTCCCAACCAGGAGGGCGGGTTCCTCCGGGGAAGCTCTGGGAGGCGGGAAGAGGGGAAGTGGGCGGATCTCCGCACACCCCGGCGGAAGAGGCAGATTCAGGAAGCCATTACGCAGCTGGCTGGCAGCGGCCGGGCCGGTCGGGGCTGGGCCCTACGCACTTTGCGTAGCGAGGGGGGTTACCAAAGGCCTGGTGCTTGGCCCGGAACAAGCCCGGCCTATCCCCTGTAGGGGAGGGGTGGATGAGGGGAGAGGCTGGGGAGGAAGAGAGGGGGAATTGGGGCGTTTGAGGGGATTATAATTTCTTTAAAAAGGGGGGTGGGGAGAGGCCATGGCCGTCCCAGCCAAGAAGAGGAAGATGAACTTCTCTGAGCGAGAGGTGGAGATCATCGTGGAGGAGCTGGAACTGAAGAAGCACCTGCTGGTGAACCACTTCAATGCCGGGGTCCCTCTGGCTGCCAAGAGTGCCGCCTGGCACGGCATCTTGAGAAGGGTCAACGCTGTGGCCACCTGCCGCAGGGAGTTGCCTGAGGTCAAGAAGAAGTGGTCTGACCTCAAGACCGAGGTCCGTCGCAAGGTTGCCCAGGTCCGGGCCGCGGTGGAGGGTGGCGAGGCCCCAGGGCCCACTGAGGAGGATGGAGCTGGTGGGCCTGGGACAGGTGGTGGCAGTGGTGGCGGTGGCCCAGCCGTAGCCCCCGTCCTGCTCACCCCCATGCAACAGCGCATCTGCAACCTGCTGGGCGAGGCCACCATCATCAGCTTGCCCACTACCACAGAGATTCACCCCGTGGCCCTCGGACCCACAGCCACTGCAGCTGCAGCCACGGTCACCCTGACACAGAGTGAGTGACCTCTCCCACCCAGTCTGTCCTGCATAAATGGGAAGGGCCAGCCACGAGCTGGGGCGGCCTGGGGAAGGTTGGCTGCCAGGGGTCAAAGGTCAGATGGGCATCTTGGAAGACCGCGAGGCCTTCTGAGAGCTCCCTGGACAGAAGCGAAGCTGTTCTCTTTGGGATTTCCTCAGCACACAGTCTGGGCTTCTGTTGAGCTGGATTGCTCTCAACTGTTTTGCCGCCATTCGTGTCCATGATTGACGGAACGATGTAGTCCTTGAAGACAGGGACCTGTCTGTGTCCCCACAGGACTTACCGCAGGGCCTGGCACATAGTAGGCGGTCAGGACATACTTGTCGAATGACTAGACAGATGAGAATATTAATAACCAAGTAAGACATTGAATCTGGACAAAGACGTTCTGGGTTTTTAGTGCGGGGAACATTCATCAGGCCCTGCCCAGAAACCTCATGGTTCCTTGTGTTCATCTAGTCCTTCCTTCCTCCTCAGACAATCGTGCTTATTTCTTACTCCTCAGACCCTGTGCTTGGGACTGGGATTACCAAGGTGTTCGAAATAGGACAGATAAGACACACACACGAATAATTGGACTCTCAGGAGACTCTAAAGGGCTCAGGAGAGGAAGGGGCTTCCTGGCTGGGGTGGGGACTCAGAGCCGATGTTGGCACTGAAGGGTAGAGAAAACTGACCTTTCCCACGACCACAGAGGCCCAAACAGCCCACCCAGAATTCCTTCAAAGCTTTTCAGTTATGAATGACAAAGGTTTGGTTGGCCTTTTTAGTTCAGATAAGGGTTTGTACCAGTGACTGTTAACTGCTCCTTTGTGCTGGGCTATGACCCGCATCCGTCAGTGATTCTCAGTGGGGCTTGGGCTTGGGAGGATGGGGTGTATGAGTGAGTGCCGTCCCCCTGCGTTCGTATTTTCTAAGGATATCCAGGTGGGAAAGAGGATCAAACACTGGTCTAAATTACTTGCTGTTCTAGAACAGGAAGGACCTGTGACCTGTAGGTATCAAGCCCGGGAGGCATTTATTGGTCCCTTACGCAACTGCTGTCTCACTCCCGCCTCCTTTTCTGTTTGGGCGTAAAAGGAGGGAGATAGGACTAGTGTGGCTACCATCAGCTCAGAGTCCCACCCAAGATGGCAGCTGCGTGCCACCCCTGCAGGGAGCGTGTGGCCCTGCCTTGATTAGCTGGAAGCATCCCACTGGGGTGGTTACGAGCAAGTGGGACTCTGGTGTTCCGGAGACCTGGGTTTGCTTCCTGGACCTGCTGAATAAACTGACCTTAGTTAGGCAAGTCACTGCATGTTTTTGAGTCCGTTTTCTCATCTCCAAATATGAACATGACAGTACCTGCCTCTTGGTGACATTGTGAGGAGTTAACGAGTGCAAAGGGCTTAGCACAGTGCCTGACACACAGTGGGTGCTCTCAGTTTTTTGCTAGTATTGTTATTAGCAGCTTTGCTTTTGCCAGATCTGGGGCCGGCCCTTTGGTTACCAAGCAGATTCTAAATGCTTTAGGCTCTAGATTTATATGAGGAAGGCTATAAAGCCGGAGGAGACCAGAATTTCCCCGGAACAGGGCTTAATGGCCTCCTCTCCCCCTGCCCCGGCCCCCAGGTGGCCAGGTTCATTCATTCTAGAAGGTGACCTGCCACTGCCTCTGCTCTTCCCCACAGTCCCCACGGAGACCACCTATCACACGCTCGAGGAGGGAGTGGTAGAGTACTGCACGGCGGAGGCCCCCCCACCGCTGCCAGCCGAGGCCCCCGTGGAGATGATGGCCCAGCACGCCGACACCTCGGTCAAACCCCAAGCGCTCAAGAGCCGCATCGCCCTCAACTCGGCCAAGCTGATCCAGGAGCAGCGGGTCACCAATCTGCACGTGAAGGAGATTGCCCAGCACCTGGAGCAGCAGAATGACCTCCTGCAGATGATCCGCCGCTCCCAGGAGGTGCAGGCCTGCGCCCAGGAGCGCCAGGCCCAGGCCATGGAGGGCACCCAGGCGGCGCTGAGCGTCCTCATCCAGGTCCTCCGGCCCATGATCAAAGATTTCCGACGCTACCTGCAGAGCAACACGCCCAACCCCACGCCCCCCTCGGAGCCCGGACAGGTGGCTCAGAACGGGCAGCCCGACAGCATCATCCAGTGAGGGCAGGGGCTGCGACGACCTTCTGCTGTGATTGGATGACACCACTGTGGTCTTGGAAGTGGGTTTTGTGACTGGCCTTAGGGCACATGGCCAGCCCTCTCTTTGATGGACCGTTAGGGGTCCGCGGTTTCTGAGAAGTGAAGGAGATTGAGAAGAACTTGTTGGGCTCCTGGGACCCAAACTGTTCTTACCCCCGCCCCCCGCCCCTTGAGCTGCCTGGCCAAGAGCCTGAAGGTTGGCTAGGTGGGGGTTGGGCGCCGGTGATTCTACACATGGTGTCACGCGCCAGGGCTTGCGACGTGAGCCACTCTGTCTGGAATGCCTGGAAGGGAGGTTCTCACTGGGAGCTGTCTCACAGCTGGGGATGGGGGAGGGGGGGTCCTGTGCTGAAAGGCTCCCCCACCCCACAGTGTCATCAGTGTGATAATGTCCGTGGAGCGGGTAGTGGTCCAGTACCTTCTTCCTGCCTTGGGAGGCAGAGTGACTGGGCCTGAGCAGGAAGCTCCACCCCTTTTCTCCTTCCCACTGTGCCTCCGTTCTCAGGGGACTCTAGTCCATCTGTGCTTTCTCCATCCCCCGCACCTCTCCGGGCCTAGCAGGGGGGCCCTCGCTGTCCCCCACCCGGCTGGCTCTGCAGCCGCACCCAGGATGCGGCCCGCTGGGCTCAGGGATGCTGGGTGTGCTGGGGACAGCCTGGCCCCCATCTGGTCTTCCACTGCGTCCTGGGGCAGCCTGACAGCTTTTGACTCAGGACGAGCATTAGGCTCTGGGTGCTGTGAATCTGAGAGAAAACAGACCAGCGTGGAACACTGTTGCTCCCCTGCAGTGGGTCTGAGGTGACCACGTGGCTTCTTCCAGAAGGCTTGCTTCAGGCCAGATGTATTTGTTCTGTACACCTACCCCTCCTGGGAAGGGGTGGCAGCTCCGGCCACACCCGTCCTCTTCTCTCTACTGACTGCACGATTCTGACATTCGGCGTGGGGGAAAAAGAAAAAAAGTGGGGGGGGAAAGGCATCACACCCCGGACCTCTCCTCACATTATTCGGCGCCTCGTGTTCTTGCGAGACCCCCACTGACTGGCTAGGTGCGTCTCAAGGCCTGCTTGGGCCCGAATGTTTGAGGTGGGAGAGCCGAAGCTGACCTAAGAGGCGGGACCTTGACTTCTGTACTCGGGGAAGAGCAGACTGACCTTGGAATGCCGAAGGAGGTAGCGTGCCCTGTTCTGTCTTGACGCTCTCTCCCCTTCTGGAGGGAGTTTACCCAGGTGGCATTTGTCCGGTTCATTTTCCGAATCGCCCTGGATCACTCAGACCCTTGCATTTTCCCAGATCATTCCCCAGGACTGCCATCTTGCTGCCGGTGCCTTGGCTGCACGTGACCAGTGGTGACAGTTCGAGGCTCCAGATCTCAGCTGAACGATCAAGGTGCTGCCCTTCTGGGCATCGTGGCTCACTCCACTGTTGCCGTTGCGGGAAGATGCCCCCAAAGATGGTTGGGAAGTGACTGTCGTATGGCCAGCCTCTCTGTGGACGACAAGTGTCGCGTCAGCTAGGGAGCAATGGAGAGGAATCCGGCCGGTAAGGAGGTGGGTGATGGAAGGAAAGCTCCCCAGTGGGGCTGGAAAGCAGGATCCCCTGGCAACCCGGGCTCCCTCCCTCCATGGAGCCTTATGCCCCTGGCAGGGAAGCTCTGGGGCCTTCCTGAGGCTTTGCCACTCGGTTTGGCTTTTCCCTGGGGTTGGCATTCTGAGCCACTATTGCATCGGTTCCAATTGGGTATAAAGAGGAGGCCTGGTTCTCTTAAACTCACCGCTTCTTTCAGGTCATAATTTTAAATTAAAACTATATCACTTTTTTTACACAGATCTGTGTCTGCGTCTTTGTCTTTATTGGTTATATATAAAAGAGATATGGGCCGGCAGAGACCAGGGGCTGGCACACAATGGCCCACAGGCCAATTTTAGTACATGTGCTGCCAAAGCAAGCACGGCCCATGGGTCAAACCGGCCCCCCACCTGTCTTCGTAAATAAAGTTTTATTGGAACAGTCACACCCCTTCATTTACTTAAAGTCTGTGGCTGTTTTTGTGCTACAGTAGCAAAGTTAAGTAACTGTGGCAGAGACCTCTGGGCCACAAAACCAAACTCTGGCCCTTTACAGAAAAGCCTGCCTATCCCTGGTTTGGAGTAATGAATGTTTCAGACTCTGGATGAAAATTACCCACCGGGCTGTTTGGTAAATATATCCCAAACCCAACCACCTAAAAATCTAGAAGAGACTCCTGGAAGGAGAGCTCTAAGAATCTGCTTGGTAAGCAAGCTCTCTGGGTGATTCTGATATTTCCTGAGGGTTACGAACTTTGACTTAGAGCCTGGAAGACTTAAACTCAGCTGGAATCATGGATCATGGAAGCATACAGATCGTGCCCCATTGAGGGCTGGCTCCCAGGAGCTGCTTCTGACGGTTGAGGAGTCCTGCCCAGCAAAGAGTCTCACGTAAGATTGGCCTTCATTCTGGAGGGATCCTAACCTTCTGGGACATAGTTAGGACTCTCTCTCATAGTTAGTAATAATAAAAGCTGAGAACTATCAAGCCCCTGCTCTGACTGGGCCTTATAAGCATTACCTCATTTACTCCTTGCAACAGCCCCGTGAATTAGGCAATAATGCTATTCTCGGTTTGCAGGTGAGGATATTGAGGATCAGAGAGGTTAAACAACTTGCTTAAAACCACACAGCTACCTTATTCTCTGGGGTGGCCCATGCTCTTAGCTCCCGTTTTTGTTTTTAAGATTTCATTTATTTATTTGACAGAGAGCACAGCATGGGGAGCAGCAGGCAGAGGGAAAGGGAGAAGCAGGCTTTCGGCTGAGCGTGAACCTGATGCAGGGCTCGATCCCAGGACCCTCGGATCTTGACCTCAGCTGAAGGCAGATGCCCAACCGTCTGAGCCACCCAGATGCCCCTTAACTCCTGTTCTTAACAATGCTGAGCTTGCTACCAGTCAGATGTGAAACCACCTAGTGATCATTTGAACCTGGCCTTGAATTTCTGGGTCGAATGAGGAGGCCCAGGAAGCACGTGAAATGGAAATAATGACCTCTCCAACTCTCCTTAGGCTTTGGACATTCCTATTAAGAGGGAAAAGGGTGGCTTCACAGAACTGAACTCCCCTCTCCCTGTTGGTGCTACTGGAGAGCTGTTGCTTACATTGGGATGCCTTTTTGGGAGTTCTTCTTAAAATGTGGGATTTTACATAAAGGAGATCCTCCAAGCCAGGGCACGTGGTGAAGCCTTTTACATTTTAAACCACTTTGGTGGAAATCTTTCACAAAGGGATCCTTTTGTTTCTTACTCTATATAGAGTTGGCTGAGAAGGATGGAGAGGCCAGAAAAGGCTCTGGGCTCAGGCAGGTTTGGGCTTGAGCTGGGTTCCATCCTTTATACACTGTGTCTCAACTTTGCTGGACCTCAGTTTTCTCAATTCTAAAGCAGGGGTGAAGGGGGCACCTGGCTGATTTGGTCGGTGGAGCTTGCGACTCTTGATCTTGGAGTTGTGTGTTCAAGCCCCACTTTGGGGGTAGAGATTACTTAAAAATGAGAATTTTTTTCTTTTTTTAAGATTTACTTACTTATTTTAGAGAGAGGGAGAGAAAGCAAGGGGGGAAGATCAGAGGAAGAGAGAATTGCAGGGTGACTCCCTGTTGAGTGCAGGGCCCGATGCATGAGGCTCGATCTCGTGTCAGACGCCCAACTGACTGAGCCACCCAGGAACCCCCCCAAAATGAAATTTAAAAAATTTAAAAAAAATTATTTATTTGACAGACAGATCACAAGTAGGCAGAGAGGCAGGCAGAGAGAGAGAGGAGGAAGCAGGCTCCCTGCTGAGCAGAGAGCCCGATGTGGGGCTCGATCCCAGGACCCTGAGATCATGACCTGAGCCGAAGGCAGAGGCTTAACCCACTGAACCACCCAGGTGCCTGAAATTTTTTTTTTTAAGTAAAAATGGGGATGATAACTAACAGTCCATACTTGCTAGGGGTGTCACAAGGTGTTAATCAGTGGAAATAGCTACCGTTTATTGAGTACCGACCATGAGCAGCACTGATGTACAAACTCATTTTATGAAATCGTGTCCATAACACTTAGCATGTGCCGACGACATCCCATGTTCACATGTGCTCAACAGACACTGGCTGTCGTCATTATGACAGTGTCTTGAACCTCCAAAGGGGTAACTAGTGAGTGGTCTCTTGAGATCACAACGGGAGCTTTGTCGAAAGTGTCGGAGTGTAAAACGACAGTCACCTGTCTGAGCAGGGCCCTTTCCAGCCCCCCATGCACCAGGGTAGGCTCTCCCCTGCTGTGCACCGCCACAGCAACTCACACCGTCCCCCTAACTCTTGTGGACTTGCTTGCTTTCCAACAGATCCCTTCACTGGGAGCCATGACCCTGGGATCTGAGCCGAAGGCAGAGGCTTTAACCCACTGAACCACGCAGGCACCCCTGATAACCCTTTTTATTGTAGTGTAAGATGTTTTGCATTTCCCTCATTGAACGGATAAAGACACTGAAGCAAGACTCACCTGATGGCATATAATTTGTCAGTGGCAGAGCTGGGAGATCACCCCAGACCTCCCTGTTTACACAGGCTTCTCTTTGTGAGTCAACGTTCTGTGAGCATGTGATCATGAATCAGCCTTCCAGAGCTGTGGCCTGGACCCAGGACTGGGGACAGGTACATCAGGAGCTCTGCCCAAGAGGCCCTGCCTCACCTGAGGGCTGTGACCTTGGGCGGGTCGCATCACCCCACCTGGTGGTGAGGCTTCCTCTCCAGCATAGCCCCTGCCTGTGGGAGGTAACGAGACGATTCAGTGAGGAGAATGAAGTGGATGAATCAGGGAGGGCAGTGCCTGGTGACAGGGAGGCCCCAGGGCTCCACACAGGGCCTGGCTTACAGCAGGGTAAAGGATATAAAGAAATGAGAAGGCAGGAAGGGGCCCACCTGAGGACCCCTTGCTACACGTTCTCCAAGATTCTGCTAATCCTGAGCTCTTGAACTCCTGCCTACAGCCCCTCAGAAGAGAGTCCCTCGGCTCAGATAAGCGGTCCCCGGCCTGCAGAAGGTTGGCTGGCTGGAGGCTGAACTCGGCTTCAGGCAAGCCTGACAGGAATGCAGGCCCATCCTGTCAGAGATTTCCTTTTTACAAAACCAGCCAGAAATCTGGGCTTTTATGTGAAATCTCCCAGTTTAAACATATTGACGACTAAATATTTGTAAACCCTGTACAAGCCAAACAAAACACACCTGTGGGCTAGAGTCAGCCCACGGAAATCAGCCTGTGAGCTCTGCACTTAACCCTTTAGGGGCCAGCTTGTACCCCGTGGGAGGAGCCAGAGGAAGGCAGCTGGAGGCAGAGGTTGGTAAGCAGGAGGCCTAGGTCCCAGGTCCCTGTTTCTCTCGTGCCTCAGTCTCCCCATCCACACGATGGGGTTGCCAGTTCTAGGGGAATGGTCCCCGGTGTGAACACCCCTCCTGGACACCCCTCCTTTGCCCAGACCGGGCCTGACTCACTGGGAGGGTCTGGGTTGGGCTCTTTGCTTTGCTGGAAGCTGAGTCAGTCTTGATTTGTGGTGATGATATGCAGACACCAACCACCTGTCAAGAACCAAGCTCAAGGGTGCTTGGGGGCTCATTTGGTTAAGCATCTGCCTTTGGCTCAGCTCACGATCCCTGGGTCCTGGGATGGAGCCCCACATCAGCTCCTTGCTCAGCAGGGAGCCTGCTTCTCCCTCTAACAGCTGCTCCCCCTACTTGTGCTCTTTCTCTCCCTGTCAAATAAATAAATAAAATCTTAAAAAAAAAAAAAAAAGAAAAAAGAAAAAGAAAAGGAACCAAGCACAAATGGGTACTGGCCATTGCAGGGAACGGCCGCCGAGGGTGAGGCTGGCAGAAACCGTTTCCAGGCAGGCCTCCAAGAGGTTCCTGTCCAGATGGGAGGTTGGGCCAAGA